TCAGGCGGCGATATGAGAACGTTCCACCACATGGAATTAGCTGATTTTTGGTACACATATGAAACAAGTAAAGCTCTATCCGATTTTCTGATGGAAATTTGCATCCAAAACTATATAACGGGAGAAAATTGCAATTTTATGGCATTTTTCTTCATAATTGTGTCTCTGCAAGTGCATTTTCATCCGAGAATTTTTTTTTTTATGTTTTATGAATAAACACGATGTTTTGGAAATATTTATCAAAAGAAATTTATACTATGTTGCGAATTACAATTTCGAGATAACCTTCTTTTATTTACGAACTTATGTCTTTGATGCTGAAATTGACAACTTTATAAAAATACATTTTCACTGAAATTATGAAATCTGGGTGTCGGAAAGGTGTAAAATTATTCTTCGGAAAAGAAAAAAACAGTAGTTGAGCTAGATAAGAAATTATACGGGGGCAGGCTCCTATGGAGAATTAACATTACTGGAAACAGGCCCTTTAAGAAAGAAGCAAAACCTCGCATAACTAATTAGCATACTGCCCTCTGATTTGACGTCCTTATTTTATTCAAATACGACAAGTTTTGACATTTATACTGCGTAAACAAGAAGACAAAGATTGAGAAAAATCAGCATGTTACGCTACGAAATTTCACCGGTTTTGAATTGCTTTGAGAATTAGAACATACCCCCCTGAGCTTGATATCAAGGATACAAAAGGCTGTTCTACATCAGCTGCCTTCCTCGATCTATATTTGCAGCAGGATTGTCAGGAACGGCTGACAACTAATGATTATAATAAGATTGGTGATTTCCATTTCCTTCTCGTGGACGTCCCTTTTGCTGATGACCGACATTCCTGCTTCCCAAGCCGATTTTATAACATGTCACAGTCGATTCTATATTTAGATCTTGCTCCGAGTATCAGGATTTCCGTGATAAATGTCGACTACTGACGGACACATTCTAAGCGCAGGGTCTCCACAGTTAAACGGTCGCCATCGTGATCTATTGGCTTGTGTGATATGAAGGTCGGTTTTGTTGTTGTGCTCATTAGTGAGCTAAGTTGTTACGTTAGCTGAACACGATTAGAGAAGGTAGGTAACTTGGATTTGATCTAGATTTACACTGCGAGTGTCGTCAATGAAGCCATTGATTAGAGAAGGTAGGTAACTTGGATTTGATCTAGATTTACACTGCGAGTCAATGAAGCCAAATACTCTTTCCCTTCCGGAACACCTGGTCTTATTTTCTTGCATTTTTCTAACGTGTCAATATGAACATTTCTTTTGAGTTTATATTACCTTAGTTTTATAGATTATTAGTTTAGATTAAGGTTATGTTGACATTTCGGTAATTTCTTGTTGTTTTGTTCGTATAATCAAACAATTTTTGATGGTGTATTACACCCATCGATGGAAATGAAACGTAGAGGCTTAGACGTGCAAATATGTATAAGCACGCCAACGGTTGGAATCGAATCAATTTTAGGGTTGCTATTGCGCGAAAAAGGGCCATGACAGACAGACAAATTGATATTCCCTTTTTCTCCCATAGCGGGTGATATAAGTGTGCATGTTTGCAAAGTTGTCTATGTAATGGTTAATTTAAGTACAGTATTATAATGTAAAGCTGTGGTACAGGCAACTAACGGCGGTGTCAACATTGTGGTAAAAAAATGATGTTACCGGTGTGCATGTTACCAGTTATGAACGACACTAAAATTAATACAGTAAAATTATGTATAGTTATTACTGGATCATGTCGAAAAAATACTGACATGCAATTACGGGGGACCGCGTGAGAAACTCGACTACTTATTGTAGTAAACTGTTGTACGTGTCCATACTGAAACCACTTTTACATAACCCAACATGTTGTAATCACCATTACAAGAATCTCTAATCTCCGAGGTTATACATGCTGTAATATGCATAGGCATGGTCTAGCATACACGGTATAGGCAAGGTGCTTCATATCAAGTTATAGAATAGTAGACGAGAAGGACTATGTATAACTTAGTACTTGTTTCCCAATCTTCAAATCAAAGTCTTTTTTACTTGAACATGTTAATTGACATGAATAAAATATGGTTTAAACTTATACATTTGAGAAGACGATTCCCTGTTATATCTGATAGACCTATTTAAGCCGAGGAGACTTGATACTTATTTAAGTGTTCCTGTATTAATTTTTATCCTAATTTGTAAGCTTTTTCAATCTATGATCCTCTTAATAATCAAAACTGCGGGCAAACGTTGCGTGTTTGGAAATGCGTATGATCACACTTACAATGCTGTCAATAACTCTGTTTAAATCCCTTTAGCTATACTGATGCTCAATAAACAACTTGGTCCCCTGGAGAAGTCTCACAGCTCGTGATTGTCAATTAGTTGTCAGTGACGAAAGCAATGTGTCAATCTAATTGTCACGGACGAGGCAATGATTATAAGTCAATTCTGTAAATGATATGTGGCAGTAGCATAATTATAAGGGGGAACGTTCATTTGTTTATTACCTCAATCAATTAGAGCGTAAGTATAACTAATTTGTTGGGATCATTGACTCTTAGCCAATAACACGGGGTAGCACGCGGAGGCCCTTGTGGGATAGGTGTAAACGACGTTATCCATCACTTATTCTCTAGGGGCCCCACAATAATCCGTCAAGTGCAAATACGCATTATTAAAGATAATGGTTTTATGATGTTGTTGTAAAAACAGGTCAACGTCCCAAACGTACATAATTGGCGCGCGCGTAGAATTTCTCATACTCATATAGTCGGTACAAAATTAGCTTTAGCTGTTTCCTTCATAGGAGGACAGCGAAGACTACACAAAGGACGTCGTTTCGTGGACCGCAGTAGCCGTGACAGCCTAGCTAGCTACCGCATCTGAGGAGCTGTCCGACCTCAGAGCGTGCCCTGGATGGGCAGGAATTTTGAATCAACGAAGGCCCGGTAAGGGCCAACTTACCCTCTCACGTCGACCTAAAACTGACTTCGTCAGTGATTGTAGACGATAAACACCTCAACCAACCAACCAACCAACCAGCCAACCAAGATTTCGTCAAGTATTTATCGTTCAGAACTTTCTCGTTCTCTGTATGAAATAAACTACTCAGTGAGGATGTGCCAAACACATTTCGCTCCACATACCTTCAAAGTAGGGAACGGGAGACACGACTGTGAAGATACGCGAAGAAAGAAGAAAAATCGCCATCGGAGGAGGCGATTCTTGAGTGTTAAAACCTCTGCTGATTGAAATTCAGTAGTTACCGTTTAACTTGTAATTGCAGTTCTATATACCGATCCAAACTTAAATGCCTTGTAAGAGAACCCAAGGTGTCAACAAGAATATACATTCGTACATTAAATTGGTATACTGATTTTAAGACTGAGAGTATCCAGCCTACTTCGACTAAGCACGCTGGAGTCGTGTTCAGCGCCAGATGGTTCGTGTGGACAGTTAAGAAGATCCCGTATTTTTACGAAACCCTTCCCGTCGTTGATAAGATTTATTTATTTATTTTAATGCCGTATTCGACAAGGTAAACATGAGAATGACACCGCCATCCGTTTTGGTATCTCTTCTAATGTGAGTAGATTGTTAAACTATTATGTTTGTTAAAACAATCCACATATTGTTGTAAGACTGTAAGTGTAGCATTTTTAAGCCCCCCCCCCNTTTATGTGTGTTTCTTATGCATACTATAATACTATTCCGATTAAGTAAGTTTGTTGTAAAAGAATAACAAAATACAACCCATCTCCGGTGTTTGTAATTTCTTCATGTCATCTCCTACCACCAGTCAACCACAATAAATACTGACATTATTTCTACACAAGTTATGAAACATCAATGAAGCGTTATATCATTATCATTTCAATACAAACCATACCAAGAAACAGGAAATAGTGTCTGGCCTAAGGAAAACGATCCTATTTTGATGTCGCGATCCTATTTTGATTTGGTTTCACTTTGTTATTAGTTTATAGTTGTTTGCGCAAGGACGTTACGTGGCTATCTTTTTGATCTCAACATCAATAGACAGGCATCTAACAAAGCCACGCAACTAGGGATAAATTGGTGAAATAGACATATCTAACTAGAGCTCATGAATTTGTCTTGTCTGTGATGTATTGCAATTTCTAGTTTATTGTTTTATAAATTTACGTACATTTGTGTATTAATCTTGCATGGTGGTTCTTTTTGCTGTGTCCCTTTTTATCTGATTTCTGCATCTCCCGTCCTTATTGTCCCAATTTGGCACACATGGCTAGCTCGTTAGGGTAAAGAATAAGATGATGGGTCAATCGTTCGTATTGTGGTATGTCAGCTAGGACCGACCGTCGGCCTCGTCACAGGTAGTCACTTGTCCTAAATAAGTTATGATATGTTGCATGATTTATGTTGACAAATTGCACGATTTTCTTTTGGATAGCACTATATGCTTTCATTAGATTTATCATTCTTGCATTTTTCGAGCAGGACAAGAATGAGATTATATTAATTTCTTTTTAACGTTGGCATAGTTACTGTGACGTCAGCAACAACCACATATCGTCAGAATACCGAATATGTATACAAGAGTTATCAGCTGCACGTCGTATATTTTAGTAGAGCACACCCCAGTTATAAAAGGTAGTACTTGGGATTCAAATTATGAGAGACATTATAAGAATCGGCTTTATGATGTAGCGGAGCACAAACAAATTTACTTCACGCAGCCGCCATTAAAAGGATCAGCTGATAACGAGAAAACAAAGAAAAGCATACTTTGAGTGAAATCAATTAGAATTGACGCCATTCCTTAGAATACAATTAGAAAGATGGTACACAACAAGCTGATCATAATGTATTTAATATATGTACATATATTATGCTGTCACCTTGACCCTATCGCGTCACGTAACTGTTAAATATTTAATGTCTGTCGTCTGTACCCTATCACGGCACATAATCTTAAATTTCCAAATAAATAACCCAACACAAGGAGACAAGTGTTCATGCATTGAAAATATTGATTTCGTATAAAACAATTTACAGAATGTGATGACATCAAAAACAAAATGATTGTTCAATAAATTTAGTTTGAAATGAAGGACAAATATTCATAAACAAGTTAGTTTGTAAGAAAATACACGAAAAAATGACAAACGTAACCGGTGTTCATGTAAAATGTGGAGAACATTTCAAATACGGTGCACTGTATGACAAAAAAACGTCTGTAAAATGCCAGTGTGCTATAATCGTTGAGAATTGTCGTTCTCCGATGTTATATTTGCAAAATTGTCATCATCGGATTGCCAAGGAAAATCACGTGTTCTTCTGTTCTCATCGGTATGGTTGGTGACTGAAGTTAACATTAAACTTTTAATTCCTTCTTCTGATTGGCTGTTCACAGAATTTTCCAATAAACTCTTATTAACATTTGTAGGTGACGTCACGTTTTCATCTGAAAGAGACAAAATATACTTATGACATTTCTGTTCATGGTTAAACAGGCATCGATTTCCTTACACACTGTCTGGACATATTAAGGGAATTATCTGTTAGGCTATCGTCAACAGAACAAACAAATCAATAGGTTACATGTTACATGTACGGCTTGGCAATCTATCAATGGTTCTACAAGTATAGATAGAACAATCCAGACACGTCTCACTAATTCGTAGATTACGTCAGACAAGTTTATGACATTAGGAAAATTGAGCACGTCTCAACATTTTGATCACGCTTCTCAGAAAATCACAGAATGAGAACACGAACCGGTATAATCAGATCTCTCAAGAATGCTTCCCTTCAAAATTAACTCGATCCTGGTAGGCATTTAGCTATTACTTCAGAAATACTTCACTTCGAAACATTTTGTTTACAAAGAAAAGTTACCGTTGTCGGGATTGAGTTAACAATTACTGCTATACCTAATAGATAAAAAAGGTAGGCACAAATGGAACTATATGCAATCAAGATTGGAATACTTTCTTAGATTTCGAAATAAATTTCAAGTTTTCTAATGCGCTTCCCTTCTATGTTGGATTGAATAACCCGCTTTAGTTTGCCCCTTCGCTTTGAGTAAGGGTCCACAGCTACTAAAGACATAGGATGAAGATATACATGCATGAGTAGTAACCGAACTCGCTATAGGATGCCGTACCGAGGTCCTCCTCGATCGTATGCATACTGTTTTTGCCTTTCTGGAGCCGCTTTCTTCTCTCCAGCCACACTTTGTTGAAAGTCAGGTAGAGGAATAGACAGGAAAAGGACAGCACGCCGTATAGTCTGAACGTCCACACCATCCCCAGGACGTGATCCGGGTACAACAGACCGGTCAGCACACTACCAAGTCCCTTGCCTGGAAAATAAGATATAGGTGTGTTATACTCTAGTTTGTATACATATACCTCTAAGGGAACAACATAACCGGTTTTTGGAGGACCGTTACGGAGAGCAATCAGAGCTGTTGGCCTTTTGCTGATTTGTGAAGCACAGGAACTGTTGATTGAAGAACCACAGTTTTCACAAAAAAAAAAAATATCAAACGTATGAAGCGTTATCACCTCCTGCGGGTCCTACCGTGTTGTACAGGTGTGTTCATTGTCGAAATGTTAGGGTTCTGCTTTCAATGCAAACATCATCGCCACACCCTGGTGCAAACACGTTAATTGTGTTGATGGAGAGTCTTGGATTTAAAAGATGCTGTGTTTGTTGTCTAAAGAAGAACCCGTGTTTATCGGTTGTCGACATAAATACTCTTTTGTATCTATGTATCTATGTTCGATGTCAACAGATGTTTTAAGTAAGTGGAATTATTTGTTAACTAATGGTCTACTAGCCCTTCAGGCTGTGTACAAAGGGAGCTTTACTTCTTTGATTTTTCTTTTCAAGATTACAACTTATTTTCCATGAGAATAGAAATAAGTAAATCTGAGTAAGGCAAAACCACCCACGTCCTTACTGTACATGGAGGCACGCGCTAATAGTCGGACGAGAGTCGCTAAATATTTCGACCTTTTCGTCAGAATTTAAGAAAAGAAAATATGAAGATAAAGCCACTCGTGTTTTGACCTTTTAGCTTCGAGATGTACTTCACCGACCCGCTTCTAAAATCCTCTTTTTTTTCGGTACATTTTTCTTTACAGGTACATCAGGGAGAGCGCGGAGACCATTCTTCGACAGTACAGCACCTTCCGCAACCATAAATATCTATTGGAAATTTTCCACAAACTGAGAAAATACAATAATTGATCATTCGACCGGTATTTGATATCGCCAAAACAATTCCCATTTAGTCTCAGAAGTCCAAGTCATGTAAATGATGCTTCCGATTACACGTGCTCAAATAACAATAATGCGGACGCTTATTCCTGACATGAAAAATGATACGAAGACATATATGCCGATCATTACACTGTGATATGTGTGCATCATACACGTATACGGTGATACCACTGTCTGAGTGTAGTCGACACGTACACGGTGACACCACGGGCTGAGTGAAGCCGACACAAACACGGTGATACAACTGTCTGAGTGTAGCCGTCACCAACACGGTGATACCACGGTCTGAGTGTAGCCGTCACAAACACTGTGACACCACGGCCTGAGTGTAGCCGACACTAACACGATGATACCACGGTCTGAGTGTAGCCGACACCAACACTGTGACACCACGGTCTGAGTGTAGCCGTCACCAACACGATGATACCACGATGTGAGTGTAGCCGTCACCAACACGGTGATACCACGATGTGAGTGAAGCCGACACAAACACGGTGACACCACGGCCTGAGTGTAGCCGTCACCAACACGGTGACACCACGGCCTGAGTGTAGCCGTCACCAACAAGGTGATACCTCGATGTGAGTGTAGCCGTCACCAACACGGTGATACAACTTCCTGAATGAGTCGACACCAACTCGGTGACACCACGGCCTGAGTGTAGCCGTCACCAACACGGTGATACTACTGCCTGAGTGTAGCCGACACCAACACGGTGACACCACGGTCTGAGTGTAGCCGGCACCAACACGGTGACACCGCGGTCTGAGTGTAGCCTTCACCAACACGGTGACACCACGGTCTGAGAGTAGCCGTCACCAACACGGTGACACCACGGTCTGAGTGTGGCCGTCACCAACACGGTGACACCACGGCCTGAGTGTAGCCGTCACCAACGCGGTGATACTACTGCCTGAGTGTAGCCGACACTAACACGATGACTCCATGGTCTGAGTGTAGCCGACACCAACATGGTGACACCACAGTCTGAGTGTAGCCGTCACCAACCCGGTGATACCCCTGCCTGAGTGTAGCCGACACTAACACGATGACACCATGGTCTGAGTGTAGCCGACACCAACATGGTGACACCACAGTCTGAGTGTAGCCGTCACCAACACGGTGATACAACTGCCTGAGTGTAGCCGACACCAACACGATGACACCACGGTCTGAGTGTAGCCGACACTAACACGGTGATACAAAGCTGTGAGTGTAGCCGACACCAACACGGAGACACCACGGTCTGAGTGTAGCCGACACTAACACGATGATACCACGGTCTGAGTGTAGCCGTCACCAACACTGTGACACCACGGCCTGAGTGTAGCCGACACTAACACGATGATACCGCGGTCTGAGTGTAGCCGTCAACAACACTGTGACACCACAGTCTGAGTGTAGCCGACACCAACACGATGACGCCACGGTCTGAGGGTAGCCGACTCTAACACGGTGATACCCCGGTCTGAGTGTAGCCGTCACCAACACGGTGACGCCACGGTCTGAGTGTAGCCGACACCAACACGGTGACACCACGCTGTGAGTGTAGCCGACACCAACACGATGACGCCACGGTCTGAGTGTAGCCGACTCTAACACGGTGATACCACGGTCTGAGTGTAGCCGCCACCAACACGGTGACGCCACGGTCTGAGTGTAGCCGACACTAACACGATGATACCGCGGTCTGAGTGTAGCCGTCAACAACACTGTGACACCACAGTCTGAGTGTAGCCGACACCAACACGATGATACCACGGTCTGAGTGTAGCCGACACCAACACGGTGACACCACGGTCTGAGTGTAGCCGACACCAACATGGTGATACCACGCTGTGAGTGTAGCCGACACCAACATGGTGACACCACGGTCTGAGTGTAGCCGACACCAACACGGTGATACCACGCTGTGAGTGTAGCCGACACCAACATGGTGACACCACAGTCTGAGTGTAGCCGACACTAACACGATGATACCACGATCTGAGTGTAGCCGTCACCAACACGGTGATACTACGATGTGAGTGAAGCCGACACAAACACGGTGACACCACGGCCTGAGTGTAGCCGTCACCAACACGGTGATACCCCTGCCTGAGTGTAGCCGACACCAACATGGTGCCACCACAGTCTGAGTGTAGCCGACACTAACCCGATGATACCACGGTCTGAGTGTAGCCGACCCCAACATGGTGATACCACAGTCTGAGTGTAGCCGACACTAACCCGATGATACCACGGTCTGAGTGTAGCCGACCCCAACATGGTGATACCACAGTCTGAGTGTAGCCGACACCAACACTGTGACACCACGGCCTGAGTGTAGCCGACACAAACACGACGATACCACGGTCTGAGTCTAGCCGACACCAACACGGTGATACCCCTGCCTGAGTGTAGCCGACACCAACACTGTGACACCACGGCCTGAGTGTATCCGACACTAACACGATGATACCACGGGCTAAGTGTAGCCGTCACCAACACTGAGATAGCCCAGTCTGAGTGTAGCCGACACCAACACGATGACGCCACGGTCTAAGTGTAGCCGACACCAACACGGTGATACCACGCTGTGAGTGTAGCCGACACCAACACGGTGACACCATGCTGTGATTGTAGCTGACACAAACACGACGACACCACGGTCTGAGTGTAGCCGTCACCAACACGATGACGCCACGGTGTGAGTGTAGCTGACACAAACACGACGATACCACGGTCTGAGTGTAGCCGACACCAACACGGTGACACCACGGTCTCATTGTAGCCGACCCAAGGCTATTCAAAAAAATAATGTCTTTGTCCTGTTTTTAAACTCCACAACGTCCAAATCGTTTTTAATTGGACAACATCGTTTTCCCAGTGGAACAGCAGTCTTATTAAAAATAGACGAACTCCGATAGAACTGTCTGTACATTTCAGGCGAACATTGAGTAATTTCTGAGACATTGAATTTTGAATATGTGATATTATTAAAAAGTAATATTTACAAATTTAATTCCCTATAAGATCATGGATATCTATATCGAGGCTCTGTCCGGAATCGATATCGAGTTTACAGTAGCACGCACACAGCCTTGATTTGTGATGGCATTTAGATAGTAGTAAACCATTAAGGGACCTGTCGCCCCCCCCC